TCGAATAAAAATGTTTATGCTTCATACTTTTTTACTTTCGACATTTGTATCGATCGACATTTTTACTCTCGACATTTTTATCTTTCGATATTTTTATCTTTCGACGTTTTTATCTTTCGACATTTTACTTTCGACGTTTTTTTTTCGACATTTTTACCTTTCGACATTAGTAGGGTAAATCCTTTTTCCGGACTTGCGACCGGCACAGAGATCACTGGATTGTGGTCCCCATGGTGGAGTTTTTGTATTTTATATTGTAAACAAAAACAAAAATAAAAATAATAAAAGATATAAGTGACTTGTCAATCTAGTTGAATTAAATGATAGTGTTGAAATTGAAATTGGATCGAAAGAATAATTAAGATTTCATTAGAAAAAAGCATAAGTTTGATGATAGATTTGTTAAATGAAATAATATATTTCTACAGGTATGAAATTCAATTAGAATATTTTCATTATGACATAAACTGAAACAAAATAGAGATTGAGATTCTAATAGAATTTTATTATTCATAAGAACCATATCTATATGTAAAGAATCATTGATAATTATTCGAAGTTGAAATTTATTTATGATTAAATTTTGAACATAATTTAAATCAATTTGATGAATACAATAAATAAAACGATTATTTTTATCTTTATCTTCTGCTTGAATTTGTATTTGAAAAATTTAATTGGATTGTCATTAAAATTGATGAAATAAATATTATTGAAACTTATATATAATGTTCAATTAGATCTTGAGAGCAATCACAATCAATTTATAAGATAATTTATAGTTTTAAAAATGATTTATTGAGTTTTGTTTATTTATTTCAGAATTTAGGTATGATGACTGGCAAAGACAAAGATATATCCATATTTATCTACTGATCCACACCTACACACACCCAGACTAGCTTTGGTGAATAATGTTCAACATACAATGCATAGTTACTTCATTGTGTTACATGAAATCATAATATTACTAATCGAAAGCGATTAAGAGTGGCATTGAATCCTACAGTGAATGGGGCAGAGAAAAATATGGTGTGGGGTGTGAATATGAGTGTTAGTCTCCTATCTTGCCACACCCATACCCTCGGACATAGTTTAAACAAAACTTTATGTCAAAGTTATAACTTCGGCACGATATATATATGTCGAAATTATTCCAGTATCAATTTGTTGCAAGATAAACAAAGAATTTGATCGTTCCTCGTGAATTTGTTTCCGATTCCAAAGTTTTTTACTGTAAGAGTCGGAATCGTCCATCTCTAATCTAACCATTACATTTCCAACCGAAAAGGTTTCTAACACCTCAAATAATTCCCTAATGAGAAAATTTAAATTTCACTGGTTTACAACCTATTGATCTACAAGTTTAAAGTGCTTATACATGAAAATATCTGACGCTAATTAAAAATAAACAATGCAAATGAGATATTTTTCGAATAATCAAAGAAAATAAATCTATATCGAATAAAATGTATCATAAAGATATTATTAATACAAAAATATTAGCTTTCTCTTTCATCCAAATCTCCTACCTACTAAATGTTAATAGGTCGGAAGGAATCAATAGAAAACTATGATCTGTAATAGCTGGGTTAGTAGAGTTAGTAGTCCTACCTTGTCTTGTAGGTTGAAATAATATGGGAGGATATAAGTTCAGATGATGAATACGACTTTTATTCAAGGAAAACGTGTCACCCAGATAACACAAAATACACAACTGACTGCTGGGGCAGACTTGTTCATATATGAACGAGAGAGAGAGAAAGAGAAAAAAGGAATAATAATAATATGAACATATATGTATATGTTCAAGAAATATCGAACCTCACATAGGTTACATATAGGAGAACGAAAAGAAAATGAGAAAAGTTAGCGACAACTATGTAATATCTGTTGGCGCTAACAATGTTCTTATTTTTTTTTGTCTAGATGGAAACTATATTGAGTTTAGTTCGTTTCCTCGTCCAAGTAATGGTCCTGAACAATTACGATTAGGAACATCTGATAATCCACCAAATAACAATAGTAATCATGCCATTGCATCTGGTCATTTACCACCTGCTAAGCGTTTGAAAGTTCGGGCTCAAGCTGATGAGCGTCGGAAGAATAAAGACCAGATTGCTGATAGTGCTTTGACAATTGCCAAAAAGAATGTTCCTAAGGCAATGAAATACGTACGAAAGAAATTACCGTACGAATTTATGCAACGAAATGGTAAGTTAGTTGAATATTGGAGTTCATTTCTTATTTTTCATCCTAAAACATAATATTGTGTCTTTTTCTTTTCATTTAAAGCTTTCACAAACCATTTACTTACATCAACAACGAGGCTCGAGAACGAAAAAAAATTCCTGTAAAGGAATATATATGGAATTTATCGTTTCCTGATTGTACAAAGGAACTTCGTATGTTTTCTCTCGATAAAATTTAAATTGTTTTCGTTAAATTTCAGTTCTTTTGTCAATGACGTACTTCTAGATGCTGCAGTGACAGATTGGTTGAATGAGAACTTTCGTGCTCCACATCGACCAAAATATCTTATTATCATAGGGCCATCAATAGTTGGTATGATTGAAAATAAACAAATAATATTTTTCTTAGATGATTATAATAAGAGATATCATTACTTACTATTTTTAGGCAAAACTTGGTTTGCTTTGCCATTACCTGGGCGGGTATGCCATTTTAAAGGCGGTTGATGCTTAAAAACATGAAGCGACAAGGCTTGCTATCTTGTTTTCGATGACATCCCGTGGGATGAGTGGGATAAACGTAATTTCCCAAGCAAAAAAGATATGCTGACTGCCAATGGGAAAGTTGCTGTAAGATTGTTGCACTTTTTTGAAGATAAATTCGTTGAAAATTTTCATTTTGTTTTTGTTTCTAATAATTACAGGTCACAGATAAATATGAGCGAACAGTGACAATTGACGTCACCGCTCCATCAATTGTGTTGTTGAATCCTGGTAACGATGGATCGTTGTCAAATAAACCCGTGACCAGGGCACAAATAGCTGATGCTGAGTATTGGGCTAGACGAGCAGTAGTCTATCGAATGGGTAAATATTAAAACCATAAAACAACAATAATAATGATGATAGTATAAGATAGGGAAGAGACAGAAGCATTTTTTTTCGTTCCATAATTCTAGGTGAAGATGAACATTTTTATAAGGTTCAACCAGCATCAGCGTCCGGTACAATGGACGCATCTATTGTTAATCATCGTCGTCCACTTATAGGTCGTCCAGATGAATTCGAAATTACACGACGTGAATGGCTCGACGCACAAAATCATCGTCGAGCAGCTGTAGTAAGTGATTCGTTTGATCGATCATCAGCTATGGATGTCGAGGGGATTTCTGATGAATCCGATATTGAAATTTTGTAATTGTGAGTCGAATTGAATTTTTTCATTCACTGTTTTTGCTTGTGTGAGTGTGTGTGCATATGCAAACTTATGTGAACTTTTATGAAATAGTTTCGCGCCCTCGATTTTACTCTTGTTTGCTTAATAATGTCATTTCTCTTTTATTTACTCGTGTTAGTCTCAGTGAGACTTGTGTAGTTGTGTTAAATTGTTTTTATGAAATAAATACGATTGGATGATTGAAGACTCATAATGTCTTATTTACTATTGCATAGTTTCATCAAACGAGAAGTCATTTCATTAGGTTTAAACAGGGTGTGGGTGTGGGTGTGGGGTGTTGGACGATGAACATTGACCTTCAGATCCGCATCCGCACACCCACCCACACCCACACCCTCTTTTAACAAATGCTTTCGAAATATTATTACAAATTTATTTGATATGTTATAAGCATCTTTTACAACAAAAGAAACTATCATTGTCTCTAGGAAGTATTTATACATAATAAAATAATTGTAAGATTAGTTTGCTCATTTAAAATTGTGACAATTTGATTTAATATTGTATATAATTATCAAGAAAGATTATTCATTTGAAAGAGAAAACTTAAAAAAATGATATTACTTATATGAAAAAAACAAAAATCCTAAAACCTATTCATTTTTCATATTAAGAAAAAGAATGAACAAGAAAATTAGGTAAATCGAATATTTTTTTGATTTATTTAAAATTTTGTGATATTTTAAGCCAAATTAATTATGAGAATAGTTTAAAACATGAGTAAGATTTCAGATAGAATTTAAATAAATATTGATTATAATAATTTTACAATCATACTTTCTCTTATTCAATTTAAATATATTAACATTCTGAAAGCTGGAAAAGATGAAAAAATCAAATCTTCTCGAATTTTGTACAAAAGAAATATCTTAAAAAATATGAAATTCTAATTTTATTGTTTACTTTATCAGAAAATTATTTCTGTTAAAATTATCTATATTTAAAGAACTAATCATCAATTTTAACAAAAATCATTTTATTTCTTAATATTTGGAAGAATTCAAATCCTTTTCATTGTTATTGAGTCTCTCGCGCAAACCTCTCAAGTTTTCTATAGTTAATTAAATGTATTTTGCCAGATAATAAAAATAATAAAACAGTTTTAAAACACAATTTTCATAATCTTTTGAACTTTTTAACCCTTTACCCCCGAATGTCCACAGGCGTGGACATTGACAAGATCATCATTTAAAAAAGTCAGAGCGTTTGATCTGAAAAGAACTGCTTGCTAGTTGTTAGGAACTTCATCAGCTTTTATTTGACCATAAAAAAGAATTCTTTTTATTGAAGCTTGAAGTTGAGTTATTTAAAATAAAAAGTTGAAACTTCTAATTGTCGAATCTTTTTTTCAAATATTTTTCTGGCTAAACCGTAGAATCTGCGCGGGATCTTAGAACTGCTATTTATAAACTAGATATCCATCAATTACGCAAAGTACTTCATAAAAATTATGAATAAGTTACTGGGCTAGAATCATCAAAGAATTCCGGTGTCCACGTCTGTGGACATTCGGGGGGAACGACCTGAAAGTTGTTTTTTTGTTTCATGACTTTATTAATGCATATGCGTACAAAACAGATTTGTTGAATGTTTAGCAGTATTTCTGAACAAGAAGCACTGAAGGAGACGATGTCCTATGAATACTACGTGGTCTTTTTCGAACCTTTAAGACTAAAACGTCTTATCTTAAGACATGAAAGCGAAATGTACAAGATTTATGATAATTACAATGAGAACTGCGTGGTTTGCTAGACTTCTCATGTGCATTGCTACAAATAGACTAGATGCGCACTGCTCTAATAAAAATATTACCAAGACTTTTGTGGCTTGACTCATAGTATCCTCACCGATTTTGCCAATTATTTCGTGTGTTTTCTTTCTTGTTTCAGAATAGGATTCGCAAAATTCCCACAAAAGCAAAGAAAACAGAAATCACAATGATCCTTGTTATAAAAAATATGCATTTTATGAAAATTCCAAACTTCAAGATGGACCAGTTTTCGGTCCTTCCCCCCGAATGTCCACAGGCGTGGACATCATATAACTCAAAGAAAAAAAAAACTTCAAATTTTTCTTTTTACTATGTAAGTATACGAGTGACATACAGCTCTCATATCGCTTGAGAGTTTGTTCTTAGCTATAAAGAAACTGCCGTCGGGGGTAAAGGGTTAATTTCGATACTTATCTTTCTTCATTTCAGTCAAAATCAAATCAAAGATAATGAAACATAATATCTAACAAATCGATTCAAAGACAAAAAAATAAGAAACTTTTACAGTTTTGATTTTTTCGAGCATAGATCTTTTCCATGTAATATCTACATAGTTGTAAACAAATCTTGATTATCTACAATCGAATTTGATCATAGAGCTGAAAGATTTCTACGATAGTTTACCAAGAAGATTTCCATTGAATTCTTTATCAATTTTTTTTTGTTCATATATGAATGTTTTGAAATTCTATTTTATATTTTCAATAGGAAAATAAATTAATTTTTTAGAAAATTAAACACATTTAGAGTTTGGATTGAAATCTAAATTGAACATCATGCCATATTGAAATAGTAAAGAATTGGATTATATTCTAACTCATATATAAACAAAAAATTTCTTATTTTTTAAACATGAAAATCTATAAAAACTAAACAATTATCACTAATGAAAATTTTACTTACAATAAACATAAAACATTTTTAAATATTCTTCTATACATTTATTAATAACCAAAAAATGACTAAAGAAATGATTTTTCATAATAATTTCATCAAGATCTATAAAAATCAAATGATTTTGACCTATGAAAACCTATATCTTTTTTTGTGAGAAATAATTCTATTTCTTCTATCAATTTTAATCAAAAAATAAAAATTGATTTTTTAATTTTAAAATTTATTGATCAAGAATTTTTCTTTCAGTATTTGTCTTTTTATCTTTCAAAATGAACAATTTTTAAAGATTTGAATTTCATTCTGAATTCCAAAAGTTCGTAAATGTTTTCGATTTACATAAAGATTTTTTGTGAAACACGATCTGAAAGGAGTGTTGAAGTGTATAGGGTAGAAATTTTGCACCCCCCCCCCCCCCTCCACAGACCGTGACAGAGAAAATCCATATCTTAATTAACTAATTAATAACTATATAATTATCAACTGACTAATTAATAACTATATAATTATTATTTAACTAATCAATAACTATATAATTAACTAATTACCCATCACAGACCGTGACAGAGAATTCGGGTACCCATCACAGACCGTGACAGAGAATTCGGGTACCCATCACAGACCGTGACAGAGAACCCTGGGTACCCATCACAGACCGTGACAGAGAATCCAGGTACCCATCATAGACCGTGACAGAGAATTCGGGTACCCATCACAGACCGTGACAGAGAATTCGGGT